TGCCTTTTTCCGTTCTGTGGCGTTCTTCCATATTGATCTCATGGGGACGGCGTTTCTTGATGAACTGCGGCAGTTTCGGTCAGTTGACGGCAATTTTGGTCCACACATCCATGCGCCTCAAAGAGTCATTTCCTTTTAGTGCAGGCGAGTGTGAAGACATTGTAGGGCCTTGCTTGAAAGGCAACTGGACGTAAACAAAATGTGCAATTATATCAGCAAATTCGCATAGTCGTGTCAGCCAAGTGGAAAGGGCAGCTGATGGAAGTGTCACACGCTAGGTTTTCGTCAGTTTTCGTTAGTACCTGGATCTTCCAACGTTACACTAATTTCTGGCATTCCTCTGAATCCCTTAAAACGAGCGTTCCTCGAGCAAACGAGCAGAAATCAGCAAAACGTGCAGTTCTGCTAAAACGCACGTTTTTTGAGTTGCCTCTTAGAGCCATTTTGGCTCTTACACTTTTGCGGTATGGATCCGCATGATCAATAAGTGCCCCACCCGTTGGTTTGCTGGATGGTTGTCTATAATGACTAGATGACTAGAAGAAATAAAAATGATCAATAGTGCATCCATAATCCACCCATATCTATTGTGCACCCTGCTCACCCCTTCTGAGGCCGTGTGTTGAGTGCACACCGCAGGTATTGGAGCATTTGCATTGGCCTGGCAGTGGCGGTTTTGAGGCTGGACATCCGTGAAGGGCCAGGGGTTCCTCTCCCAGAAGTCTCCGTTGAGCTCCCTACTGCACATCAGGGCCATTTGGTTCAAGAAGTGGTTGGTTGGTTTTCTTAGTATGGCGTCCGACTCCATAGCTGAAGTCGTGGCAGCATGGAAAGAGGATCCTTCCCTGTGTAAACAGGCAGCCGGTGTTGTTCTAGCAGTTGTGGGCAAGGACAGGGAGATAACCCGGAAGGAAGTTTGCACCAACAGCAAGGTTCTCGAGCCCATCGTGAAGCATTTGGGAGCCTAGGCACTGCTAAAATCCAGCTAATTGCCTTTCCCAACTTAAATGGACCCCGAATAGCCAAATAGACAAGACCACTACTTTTAATGGTTTATAATTGGCCATGTATGGTCGCGACCAAGGACTCCGCCCAGCTGTAACCTCGATATCCGAAGCAGCTGCACTATTCTTGACGCACTGCCGGCCGCGCGGCAAACCGATCCCAACTCGTGACTTGATAGTACTGCCAATCAAGCTTTTGATTTCGACCTTCGATGGATCCATATGATGCTAGCTAAATACCGGTATGTTCTATGTTTGGGGTTCAAAACGGGCGAGGTGACCAAGTGATGGCCGAGAGCTGGATTCTCCGGAACATGGTTTACACGTTCTCCCGGGCAACAAAGCGGGGACATCGTCCTCGTGAGCCGGAATTCTTGAAGCTCATGGAAGCTGCTGGGCTTCCTATCCCCGATCCATCCCCACATCGGTCAGGATCTACAAGCCCCTTGATGTTGTTCAACAGTTTTTTTGTTTAAACATTCCTTATTTATGGTGAGTGTAAGAAACGTTATAAGAACACAACCCAACAGACCAAACTGATCCAACAGGCTCAGCTGGTGCATCAGCTGCTGAGCCCGTGGAGGATGATGGAGGGGAAGAAGGTGAAGAAGAAGAACTTCATGAAAATGACCCAGTTGTCAACCCAGAGGACATATGCCATGTGTATAAATTGAGCAGCTTCTACCAACTCCGGTTTAATCCGGCATCCCCGACAAGACAATAGGATTGCCCTCCCATACTTTTGCACCCTGTGCGAGGAAAATGAGAGCACCAACGGATGCCGCCGCGAACTCTTCACGAGCCCCACATCCTCAGAGTCCGCCTTGCTTCCAGCTGGATCACGTGTGCATAGTGGCGCCTCGGACGGCCAGTTGCAAAGTTTTGACCCCTCACATTAAGTTTCCAAAGAGGCCATGGCATCAATGGGACTAAATTATGAGTTATCGGCTAGTTATTGGACGTTATACCTATAGGACCTATAATATATGGGCATGTGTGTGTCTGGCTTCCAGTGTCAAAGCTGCCAAGGTGGGAGTGCAGCTACTTCTGCAACAACTGTGCCTGGCAAAGGTGCCGAAGATCCTGAAGAGTTTCCAGGTGAACCTTGGGATCACTACTTAGTCAAGGACAAAACCCACGGCTACAAGTGCTTGAAGTGCAACAGGGTGGGCAACGATGCGACTCACTTACGTGAGCAGAGTTGCAAGATTCCAGTTCCCATGAAAGTTTCTTCCTCGGCTCCTGCCACTCCATCATTGTCCGGGATTGGTTGCAGCGCTGCTGTTGTTGGGCGTGAACTTTCTATGAAGCAACTTTCGAAAAGTGACATTGAGAAGGAGATGGAGGAGTTACAAGCCTTGGAAAAACAGTTGCATGACGTCTTGGTCGTTCAAGAGGCTAAGGAAGTGGCAGAAGCCCAAGAACTGTCTGAGCTTGAGGAGCAAATGCGCGAATTGCGCATGTATGAGACCGAAGAGGAGCAACTCCAAAAGGCATTGAGTGAGTCATTGGAAGAGGACGCCCAAAGAAGTGCAGCAAAAGACACAGCTCAGGGCCAAGACCCCATTCATGCAAGGCCTGTGGAGAAACAGTCTTCTGAATGTGGCGGGGCGAAGAGAAAGCAATTGTCTGCGCCTGAGGAGCCTGCAGCTACAGCATCATCATCGGCGGCACCGGCGTTGGCAGCAGAAGAACCTCCAGCAAAGAAGCCTGCTTTGGAAGTCTCCAAGGCAAACACCTTGGATGATGACGCTGAGCGTGCTGCTGAGGCTGCTGCTGAGGCTGAGCGTGCTGCTGTGGATGCATCTCGGAAGCTCTATGATCCCTATTGGGCCCGCTGGAGGAAGACTCGAACTCAGCAGTCGCTGGCGCCTTCAACACAAACAAGTGCCCAGGTTGTAAACTGACAGTGTCTTGTTTTTTTTAGGGGAGGTTGTTTTTGGCTTGGGGGGTATAGGAGTCCAATGTGGCCAAATCCGAGGTATTGACAACATGGATACTTTGCCCATGGACGTTGATTTGATTGATGAGGAGTCCCTTCGGAAGCGTGCCACAAAGCTCTATGTGGCCATCCCAAGAGAAGCGAAGGGGGTCGATGTGGAAGTCAAAGCGGAGGCAGTGGTCTCAGATGCTACTCCTGCCAATGAGGCTGCAGAAACACCAAAGCCATCTGCCAGCGTGGCTCAGACTGAGGGTCGGCCTGCGGTGCTGAACAATGTGTCCCCGATCGCACCTGCCGACCAGCGCTCGAACCTTCCAAAGAAACGGGCCAAGAAGAAAGCTGGGCAAGATGAGCTTGAAGAGGAGTCTCACGAGCCTGCGGCAAAGAAAGGGGCATCAAAAGGGAAGTCCGTGAAGAGAGCTTCAAAGAAGGGAAGCCCTAAAGAAAGGAAGGAAAAGACGCCAAAGGCACCAAAGTCTTCGCCAAAGCCCAAGCCGAAAGGAAAAGCCAAGTCCTCTCCGAAGGCTTCGGCAAAGAAGATGGCCAAGAAGGCTGAGTCATCGCCAGCTTCATCATCAGATGCAAATGCTTCCGTCGATGCTGTGGAGGAGAAAAAGGCCAGCAAGGCAGCCGCCAAGGCCGAGGCCAAGAAGAAGGCATCAAGGAAGAGCAGTGCGTATCATTGCGCACTGAAAGGTGCTCTGAAGGATGGCATGGACATGGCTGCTGCGAAGGTCATTGCCAAGAAGGTGTCTCGATACTTATTCTGATCGTACACTTTGTTTTTTTTGAGACCCCATGTCAAACTTATATCCTCTTATAGCTATAGTATATATACTTCAAGTTCCTGTCCAGGCTTATGCGTCGACCACCTGATCACCGCTGACGTAGAACTGGCCGTGATGAACATGGCCAGGGTATGATAGCTTAAGACTATCCGGGGTTTGCGATTGCCTGAGCAATCTTACATAGATCGATCTCAGAATGCAGTGGGAGGAACGCCCATGCAACTTTTGTCAAGCTGCAGCTAGAAAACCATTTGTTGCCGCCTATATGTTGCAGGTCTCACGTTTGACATGGCGTATGCAGCACGCAAACTCCTTTGATCATGCTCATTAATGTAATACAAATCAATTATTATATGATACTATTGAATATGGTACCGGACAGTTTTGCAGGTGGCGGCTGCCAATGCCCCGTGGAACTGGCTGGATGAGGAAGGTGATTGCGGCAGGTTGGGACCGGCCTGTATTTGGGATATTAAGTTAACGTTATCGATTTGCCATGCGGCTGACTTCACAAGGTGAGATTCGTCTATGGCTGGCATGCAAAACACATCCAATTTGGTAAGCGTGCATGGTACATGTCCGCAAGGTTTTGGGGGATCAAGCTCTCTTAAAGTCCTTTGGCGCCTTGAGTGCTATGGTGAACTCACCTGTCTTCAATCTTCAACATGTACAAGCTCCAAAGGCCTTTCGGGTAGTGAAGCTACCCTTAGTTGCATTGACCGCTTTTGCAATCTGTTCACTAGGCGCTTATCGCAATAGCGGGGTCCTCACCTGCAGCTGATGTTTGTCCTTCGCATGGCATCCTCTAATGTTCAAAAAGCCCAGGTTCTTATGCTTCAGTGGATGGATCTGCCTGATGCCAGCTTCGACTTTCTTGAAGTGTTTGCAGGGAAACAAGCGTTGACCCAAGCAATGTGCCAACCCTAGAGGGAAGTATTTGTTTCTTATGGAGTCTAAGCTTCACCATGTGGCTCACCAACCCACGCTTAGGCATTCTTCGGGGTACAAATGTGCCAGCTATGATCGGGACTTCCATTCCCGGGCCATGGAGTTCAATTCAGATGCTGGATTCCTGCCCCGAGACCTAAGCATCCCAATGATAGCAATAACCTAGAACGCTTAACAAAGGCTCTCTGATGGAGATCCCAAAAAAACTGCAAGATCTTTGTTTGCAAGCCTTTGCAAGTTAAGGGTTCCTCTGATGGAGACCTACCTTTGGCAGAACCATATGGTAATGTCGGGCCCAGGTTGGTATTGTGGGCAGTGATGCAAATGGATGCCAACGCTTTGGGGCATTGCGCTCCAGATTGCTCTTCGTGGGGCATACCCTCGAGGGGAACAAGCCTTCGCAACTTCATAAACGTGGCGGGAAATATGTTCCTGCCATGGATACAGGGTGCAAACATGCAAGTCTCAAGGTGGCTGTCGCAGTAACTTTATCCAACTAGCATAAAGTATACCATATAGTACGTGGTATATCATTCCAGGTAATATATTATATATATATTATATCTGAGGTTGGTCCTAGTGCTCCTCTTGATGATGAGCAGAAATCTTTGCTGGGTATTGGAGCAGCCACGAAATTCTCTACTATTTCGTCACAGGCGTTTCTCGTGGTTCACAAACCATGTGGCCTATGTGACTGGGCCCGGCATGAATCCCACCAGAAAAACCCTCCCAAGCCTTTACCCATGTTGAGGCCCCCTGCGTTTAGCAAAGGTGCATGTTTTTTGCCTTTGACTTCACCTGTCCACGGAAACGATTTGTGAGTGATCTCGCACGCATAGGTATTCCAGTGCGCCTTTTGGATGATGAAACATGGCTCTCCGACCCCGAAGCCTTCAGTGTGTTACAGCAACATGAGAGAAATCCAGCGGCTTCATTTGGGAGCCCTCCGCAAAGCTGAACGGGAGAGAAGGACACGTGGATCCACCACCCGTCACTAGTCAACCAATCATATTGGGCAGTCTAGATCAATTGTGCCGGCACCTGAACCCGTGCAACTTAAGGCAAATACGTGAATGCTGATGGCAAGCGTAAGTTTGTTGGAACAAAGGGGCTTAAAGAGTCTCAGACGTTTGTCTGCAACTAGCACGTTGTTCTTCAATTTCACTTCCACCCAGCACCCATGTCCTTTTAGAATACCGGCCAAGCTCTGACCACCGCCCAAGGACATACACTGTGGGCTTCTCCCGCAGCCTGCGAGATCTCTATGAGGACCACCTGCGCTCTGATGCTCCACGTCGTGACCTGCGGTTCAAACCACAACTGCAGTTGTCGGGTCCAATGGATGAACGAATTGAATTTGAGAGATTGGACATGGGTGACCAATGGGATGATGCAAACCTTTTGGGGCCCATGCTATACCTGTTCAATGGCAAACACCTGAGGCGTGGGAAAGATTGGGTTCAAGAAACAAATCAACCTTGACAGCTATATATATCCAACAACTTCAATCGATGCGTGTGCAGGTTTCCTTCGCTGGAATGGGAGAACACAATGACAGCTTTTGTGACAGAATATGAACACCAGGCTGGCCACTAGTGTTCACACCCCACTAGAAAAGCTGTTTCTCGGAGGTTCTTGGTGATCTTCGCCTACGCGCGCAGCTTCAACATGCACTTGGAGGCTCATGAGGACCTGAATCGTTCAGGAGAGCTTGTATGTGCGGGAATCCCCGCACACTTTTGGGTTTGCATGGCAATTTGTTTGCCAGAAATTGCAATTCATGAAATCTTAGAAAAAAATCTGGGGCGCATAAAGCGCGCATATTGGCGCATACCGGCGCATTTACCCGCAAACCGGCGCATACTTGAAAAGTGTGAGTTTGTGTCGCGCAGATTTGTGCATGTAGGCCCCTGGCACGCGCAGATTTGCTCAACATAGCTTGCTCTCTGAACCCTTCAGCCGCAGAACGCTGTTTGGCTGAAAGCATGGATTCAAGGTCGCACTCGTGCAGCACGCTACTTGAGGGAATGAACATGGTAAAGTTTACAAATGGTGACGCAGCCGCCCGGAAGAAAGAGCTCGAAGACTTGATCCGAGTGATCTGGCATGCAGTTGAGGCAAACCGCACCGCATGCTTGTACGTTATGCAAGCGTATTGGTCAAAACAAAACTTCTCTATCTGAGGCCAAGAAAGAACGTGTTGAGGCTTTGAGGCGACAGCTTTCAAACCAACCATGTCTTTCCAAACCTGATGACCCAGTGCCTGGTTCCTGAGCTGCGTTACATGTACTTGTGCATGCACGCATGTATATCATGCCAGCTATTGTGCCTAAGGAGCGCCACACATCGCGCAAACTGCGGGGCAGTTTTCAGCAGGGTTGGCGGCTCCAGAAACGATCATGGATTCCCAGCCAGAAACAACAGTTCCTGAGCAGCCAGCTGTTGGCACATATGTCAACACGCAATCATCGACTATTCCGGGGGAGCCTGAATCTGCCTTTCAGAAGTCTGTTGGTGAGCCAGCCCCTGGGACACCGGTGCATCTTCAGACAGATGCCCAACCACAAACCTTACCAGTCTCTCCGCTTCCGCCTCTGCCTCGTGCTGCTTCTGTTGAATCGGTGCGTACTGCGCTAGAGTCCAGTCCACGGACACCGGCCCCTTCCGAGTATACATCACAATCCACTGGACGGAAAGCTCCACAATCACCTGGATATTGGAAGCTGCTAGGGTGGCGTTTAAGACCCGCTGAATACAGCGCATCGCAAGCAAGCCTCAAGGATCCTAAAGCGTCTTGAGTACCAGCTAGAATCTCCGAGGTTGCGTCGGTACGTCAAGGCCAAGAAAAACGGCGAGATCAAATGTTCTGAGGCAGCACTGTCAATGTGGAAGACAGAAGCAGGACGTTCTTTGACAGCAAATACCCGCCCTTCATATATGCATGCATGTGTGTGTGCGCAGGCCCATCTAATTTTCTGTTTTCCGTGTGGTCTGTGCACATGTCAAGGTGCAGAATTGCGAGAGATGCTCAAAGAGCATGGCACCATTGCAGCCATGGAAGTTCAAATCGCAAAAAAGCACCTCAAGAGCGACAAGAAGAGCCTTCTTGGGGGGGTGGTACACGAAGGAATACCTTGCGAAGAATGCTTCGTATACCAAGCGTCTCAACTTAATAATTGTATGATGCATGTGCTGGATCAATGGGAGCTAGCTGGTTTGTATCTGTCAGAACTATAGTATCGATCTCTATCCCCTCTTGTCGCAACACCTGCTTAGGAGGATGATTGAGCGGGCCTTTGAATGGGCCAAAGCAAACAAGCGGTTGAGAACTAACCCAGTCCACGGAGAAGAAGAAGTTCGTATCGTGTTGAACGATACCTTTGAGCTGCAGGATGTTACCACCGAAGAAACAACCCAATCCGGTGCATTCACCATGGAGGCGGTATACATGGTATGCAAATGCATGTGCAAGCACATAGCGTAACTATGTTTCCACCTTTTCAAACCCATCCTGACCGGTCCAATCACACGCCTGGAGGATGAAGCAGGCACCCTTTTGCAGAGCGGCCTGCAGAGTATCCCGGATGATTCGAGCACGATGGGAGGTGCAGGTGCAACCGAAGGTGGAGTAGCGGTGCAGCATGTGATGACCTTCAAGCCCCTGGTCCAAACGCATGTGTAAACACTTTGCTCGGCATGCAAAGTTCCAACATTTTCCAACACAGCACTTGGTTTGTCAACCATCCTTTCCTAGGTTGACCTTTCCGGCAGTTACTGGCAATTCATCCCCCACAACAGTCTTGCCACAGTTTATTGACGTTCTCGGCCGGAAGCTGGACAAAATCAGACCAGAGCTGGACTGCCCCGATATTTTGATGCGTCCTAGCATGTAACAAGACTAAGACATACACTAGCCAGTGCACTTGCATGTTTTCACGAACAGCCGTGCAGGATCGAATTGTGGCTCTCAAGACTCCTCAGTCAAAGGGGTCTCCTGGATGCATGTTCACTTAAGTTCCGCCTACTTGCAATCCAAAGTGGATGTACCTATCACAAGCCAAACCCTAAAAGCTGGACCACTGAGGCTGGGTGACCAAATGACCAAATTGCTTGTGGAGATGGACGCTGTCTACACCCAGCTGACTGATAAGCTGTCAGAGGTCACCGTGAACCCTGAGTCAATGGACAAGTTCCTTTAATTATATTGGTGGATGGAATGAACTTGAAGGTATTAACATCATGCATTTTATAACTTGGGTCAAGCCAAGGCCGAAACGCGATGCTCTCCAACATCTCTACGTGAATTGCACCAAGCTAGATGTTGCGATGAACGGCATGCTTACCAGAGCAAAGTTCCTTGTTTGCATGCTTACACAACTGTGCCCCGGCCCCACCCCCTCTCCGCAGTTTTTCTCGGCCTCAGGGGGGATGAAGACGACGCCTGCGTCCTCAAGTGGTACCGGTGATGCAAAGGCCAAAGCCAAGGCTAAGGCCAAAACGGCCCCAAAAAAGTCACCAAAGGGTGGCAGGGGAAAGGCCAAGAAAGCAGCAAAGCCTGATTCCCGTGAATAGATTGATCTTTTTGAGGGGACCATTGCGCCCATATGCGGCAGCTTTAGCGATGCCAAGGCAATATGCATGGTTATTTATATTTATTGTTTAAATCTAAGTTCGATCTTTGTTCGCGTGTTTGTAGCCCGGGGATGCATCGCCCTTTTGCGTCGCAGTGTGGAGGCGCCTCTTTGCGTACCATATATATGCATCCAGCGAATGGGCCAAAACAAACCGGAAAAAAAGTTCGGTTGGCGTGTTGTGTTCACTGACCCTGGCCAACAATAGTTGGCCCCATCATCCACCACACGCAAGCCCAACGTGCCAGGTCATCGAGAAGAATTTGCCACTACTACGACTTCCACAGGCGCATCATCTAGCTGCTAGCTTCAAGTGTCATCGTAGCTACCAGAGTTTCTACTTGGCTAGTGGCCACTGTGCGCAGGTGATCAAAACGTGCCAATTGAGACATGTGGAAGCAAATGAACTCTTAATATTTCCTGTGAGGCGGCGATGGTGCTTCTTCAGCATCGGAATCGTTGGAGGAGGAGATGATTGGCAACTTTGCCAATGGGGTACCCTATCTACTATAGTGTGTATCGATTTGTTCTATATTTGTCGTTTAATTTTGAACATCGAGCATTCTGTAATCCTAGGCCCCTGCAAACGATGTTTTGCGACAAGCCTGGAAAACTGGCAAGCTTTTAACCAAGCATGGAGCCTGTCCTCAACATCTAGCTGGGATGGTGGGAATTATTTGTGTTATGCAGAATGTGTGAACATTGCACTACCTACCTATGTATCTCAGGAGTGCTCGATGGCAAGATCATCAAAATGGGATCCTATGGAAGGTCCAAATTCTATGCCAGGAATGCTAGCCGGAACCTCTATCGACTGATTACTCTGAGAAAGAAAACCCTCCCCGTCGACATCAGCCGTGAGACTGTCCCCATCAAAGTCAGCCGCCGCCGCAAGGTGGAGCAGAAGCCTTGGCCGGTGTTGCACTTGTCATCGTGGATAAAGACATGCTTTGAAGAGTATGGGGGGTCGCTTCTACTCGGCGGCCATGTGCTGGGGGAAGACATGACAGTGGTAGAATCAATGCTTTCACGATTCTGGTCTAGGTATGCCAAGATAGATGGTGTGCATGTACCATACCCCAGCCGAACAGTTCCATGGATGCTGCATGGCGACGAGGGCCGTGGCCAGTGCAAGCGACCACTTCTGGTAGTGTCTTTCCAACCGGTGATCGGATGGAGTGGTGAGGAATACCTGAACTCCACCAAGTGCTTTGGCAAGTTGTTCCTAGAAACTTTGACTCTTCTGTTTGAGTTGTTTCTTTTTTCTGACTGGTGGAGAAAAATATTTTTTGGGGGGGGTGCACTTGGTTTGTGAGGCACACGTTTACCACACGCCTCCTCTACACTGTTCTGCCCTCACAGAATTATGCCGATGAAGGTTCCTCCCTACAGTGTTTGCTGAAGCACCTGGTTGAAGACGTTAACAAGCTTTTTTTTGGAAGGCATCGAGGCCCGGTTCTGAAACAAACAACGCTGCACAATGTCAACTGATTAGTGAATTAAAGGGCTTCAACATACTGAATGCCCTGGTACCCTTCAGGTCAAATGGAGGAACTTCACCAGCCACTTTCACTTTCGATACTTGGGGGGGAAAAGGAGACTGGCCTTGGCTGCGATCTGCTTACCGCCTGGAGACTGGGTTTTGCATCATCGAGAATATGCCACCGGTGTGACAGCCAGGAGCCAGAATCACCAATATTTTTTATGCATGCAGTATGTTCAAACAGCTTTTAAACAGACCTGTTACTGTTTGAAGGGGGGTCCATGTTTCTCGACCGCAGTTTGCCTTCCAACAGGATTGGTGGGATGTGGGTCAGAATGGCGCTGTTAGAACTTTGCCAGAGCATGCTGAAGTGGAGAACCCCTTCAAAAGCGGAGTTGTGAGCCCTTTGCGGCAAATCCCGCATGGGGATTGTCCAAAGCGGATTTTGATAGATGTGGCACATACCCACGCCATTTGTGGGTTTGGGAAAGATGACTGTGCTTCAGCACTAGTCTTCCTATCATGCCGTTGCAGGCTTTGGGGAGGAAACACCATACCAAAGCGATTGGAACTTGCATATGATAGCTTCCAGGATTACTGCGTCAAGCGTGGCAAAACAACTTCCATCATGGAATTCACTTACCAGGACCTCAAAATTAAATCGACACTAGCTTCAACAATGTGGTAAAGTTTTGTTGTGCACAAGGCCTGGGCCTCCTATGATTTGCTCTTTATAGCACCGTGGGGCCCACACAATCCCGTACCTTTGTGCTGCCTAGGCTGAAGGAATTTCCCAAAGGGCTTGGCAAAGGCTTCGACACAGCCTTGCTTGGAAGTTGGTTGGGTGAAGTACTGGATGGTGTAACCCCCGAAATGGTTCCAGCTTCTTGGATGTGCATTCGGTGTTGTTTCTTTACCACACCTAACTGCAGGGTTCCTCGTAGTTGCAGGGAACGGAGAAACACTCAAACACGCGCGTGTGTGAAGTTGTTGGTATATATAATTGACTAAGGAGTCTTGCAGAGATATACTGGAGGTGCTACGATGGGGCATGCGATCAACAAACGCCTTCTTCCATAGCATATACTGTGGCAAGCTGTGGCTGAACCGGAGCCAAGCACAACATGCAGTCACGCACGGGTGGCAAATGATGGTTTCTTGTTTCAACGTCGTAGTTTAAGGCACACGTGCGCACATTGTAAAACCCGTTGCTCCTTGCTACTGCAAGGAAGCATATGCTGCATGCGCGCGTCTTAGCCATGATCGCAAATGGAGCCTGTGGTACATGCGTCCGAAAGTTCACATGTTTGCTCATTTAATGCATCACAGCTGCATTCAGTGCGCAACTTTGGTGCTTGTGGCAACTTAAGCATGCACATAGTGCAGCACAGCTAAGTCGAGATATGGAGTACCAGCTCTCTCGATGTGACGTGGAGCACGTTTTGAATCCGGCGAGCCCAAGCCCTAGCGAGTCATGCAGTTGTGCATATATGCGCGCGCACATACAAGTGCAGGGGTTCATTCCCGTGCGAGGCCTAGCAACCTGGAGTGACGAAGACTACATAGGGCGGATCTCCCGCACAGGGAGACGTGTGCACGCCCTCCAGCTGTGCACTAGCACCGTCAAGCGAAGCTTGATTGCTTACAAACGCGAGTGGGATAAAGCTTTTAAGGCGATGCAACACACTGCAACCGAGTAGCCGAAGGCTCTGCAGTGAATCTTGATGACCTCGCCAAAGACGATGTCAAAGAGTAGTGTGTGTGAACGTGCTGTATGTTGTGTTGAGGGAGGCTTGTGGTGGTTTTTGAGGGTACTAAACGCACACTTTTTTTGTATCTTGTTAAACGAGCGGTATTTCACCAAACGAGCACTTTTAAAAACGAGCGTAAAATAGTGTGACTTTTGAAGCTCTAGGTAACTCGACCTCTTGCGCAGCGTTGCAGAAGATTTAGCAGTCGCATTTAAAATTACAGCGCTTTTCCCAGTACTTACGGCGTTTCCCCCTACTTACGGCGTTGTTCCCCGCACCCTACTCAAGGTGGCAGCAAGACTTGTCACAACCGATCCTTTCAGCCGAGCTACGGCTGAAAAAAATGAGTTACGGCAAAAAATGTTATACTTCAAACAATTATTGCCTCGGGAGGGTCTAGGTATGCTATTATTGTTTCAAGAGGGCGCTTCAAACAACAAAGAGCTGAAGAAGACTGTCATTGCGCAAGGCCTTACTCCCAACACAGTCTCAATCAAAATCCACTGTTTGACGCGCAAGCAGTGACTGGTGGAAGGTGCTACAGTAAATGCTAAAGAAGGAATGTTCCTTGGGTCCCATCTTCCTCCTGAGAAGATGGATGGGGTGGTTTTGGTGATTCTGAGGATATGGTTGGACCATGTTGGAACGCTAGGGTTTGGATGCCTAGAGGGTTGAGATGTTGAGCTAAAGCTTGACCGCCGTCGCTGACGGATGGCGTTTGACGGTCACGGTCTAAGGGTCCTCCCGAACTTCATTCTGGTGCCTGGACGAGCTGCGAGCGGGTGTCGGCTGCGAGTTCGGGCGTCGGCTTGGGGGGAGTCCATTTGGTGTCGAAAATCCAGTCAATTCAATTCGTATAAAAATTGTGGTTGCAGCAGGTTGGTCCACGAAGTTTCCTGCAGCAATTATTTGCTTCTGATGTGGTGATCCGAATCGTGGGTGGCTCACCTGGGGAGATGCCAACGCACGGATGACACGTGATCAACCAACCTTGAGGTGGCGGCTGACCATTTTGAGATGTCAGCTGGGGGCTTAGTTGCAATGGTTTTCGATCACGTTTGCAGAACTTTGCGTGCAAGAGAGGGTGCAGTGAATGCCACCATGGAGCCTAGGTCATTCATTCAGGTCGGAACATTCGCGATTTGCTAGTCATTGTATGTTTGTTGGTTGATCCTCTCAAGATTAAAAGCCATTTCTGTCTCATTAGCCACCCTTCGAAGCTCGGGTCATTGGTTGGAACTGACGACAAATCGCCCAGAACTCTGCGCAACACTCATCAGAACTCAGCTGGCTCAATTGGTCGCCCCGTCTGTGGCCATGGCGTTTCCCTAGTGACGAATCATGCCGAAGCAGCCGAATCTATGTGACCTGAGTGGCTCGGGGAAGCTCTTGGAGCTGGGCATGGACCCCTTGGTTTCCTGCGCCGGTGGCACGACCGTGGTGAAATCCATCGGGCTACAGACCGAGATGCTGGGAGACGAGCTCCTTTCAGAGGACATGGACTCCCAGGTGGTCTCCAAACCCGCAGCTGCCTCGCAGATCATGAAGGTGGCAATAGGCCACAGGGTCTCGGAAGGAGGGCCTGGAGAGTTTTGGATAGATCATTTCAACACGGGGCGTTCACAGAGGCCACTACTCATAGAATTCAAAACATAAATATACTGTATGTTTGTTGCCCGCGAAACCCATTCCCTCCATCCAGAATTGCGTACTTTAGCTATCGCAGTTCTTTAAGTGTTCACTTTCAACCTGCTCTGTCGCCGACATTTGTTTGCTGAAGGATATGGACCATCTTCCCCCAGATCGTTTCATTTGTTTTCTGAGCCATCGACTCACTGGTTCGACCCATGGTCCAAGCCTGTGGATTCACGAACGCGGAGAATCCGCGGATTGGAACCGTGCGGATTGAAACCGTGCGGAGCGTGTCCAGACATACTCACACACACACACACTTTGGCAATAAGTTGTGGTAACCTGACGTATCATTACAAACATATCATATAACAACAAACCTGAGAGAGAAGAAACATATATGGGTTCATCAACAATCACAACGTGCGACTATCAAGCAGGTCGAGTCAAAGGTCACCTGTCCGCCACACGAAATCGGCAGAAGTGTCGACTCCTACGGGTGGCCCTAACACCAGCAGCCCCATCCAGACCACCATCAGCAAAAGGAATCACTCGTGTGGGGAGAAGCAATTCGCTGTCAGGACCTACTGTCCCGCTTTACGCTGTTTAGATGTGTTCTTTTAATTGATAGGTTCAATTCGCCCATTGCAAGTGGGTTCTTTCAGCTTTTGGCCGCCAAAAAAAACAACATGTCTCAGAGTTTCAAGATGAATTTTCCCCAAAACATATTTGTTTAAAGGCCCTTCTAATGTCAGTCCTTTGAGAAAAGGTCTAGTCCCTTCAGGTCTCTTGGGCTTGGACCTCCATGAGAAGCCCAGCTCATGGGCTCAGACCTGGTTGGAGGCGTGTAGCGTCACCCGGCCTCACAAACGGTCCCCGAGTCGGCTGGTTTGTCTCATCTCACGCAACTGGTGTTGGACTAGCTGGACACATGTCCCCATGTCATCCCATGTCCCTTTTAAACCAACGAGACAAAGAAACTGTCCTTATTTTGGCTTCCTTTTACACCTCTGCTGTCACAGTAAATTGCCACGAAGGAGTTTGAGTAACGGGTCCATGTCATTGGCTTTCAAGGACTCATGAAACATCTCAATTCCTCCGTTTGGAACTGGATTCGTTAGCCTTTCTGAGGTGGGTGAGGTGTCCTTCAGCATGGAGCCCAAACTGGCCAAGGTGGGAGGTTGGGGTCAGCTGGGTGGAGAAAGCAGAGCAAGGGTGAGGTTGGTTGGGCATATGAATGAACATGCATCACTGGAGAACATGTGCCCTTGATTCCTTATTTGACTCGGTAGGTCTCTGAACATTTACCCAAAGTGGCGTCGTAAAGGCTTTGCGATGTTGCTACAGTTAAAGGCACTTATATATATATAGTATAGATAAATCATGCAGAGGCTCAGCGGCTCTATCAGCTGGATAAGATTGAGTGCATGAGCCTGCCAGTTGGCCAGCTCCTCCAGCCAACCACGGACTTTCACCAGCTTGCTCAGGAGGTGGATGAAGGATTCTGGTCAGATCGAGACTTCAAGAAAGGTCAAGCAGATTGGCAGCGGCTGCTGGGTTGGCAGGGTTTGTTCTGAAGTTGGTTTCCGCTGTTCCTTGTTCTATGGCGGTCATTTTTTTTGGAAAGAACGTTTGGGCACTTGGGTGGTACCATTTTATAAAGGTTGGATTGTCCAGAGTCTTGTGGAAGCATACAGCCTCAAAACAGCCTTTCATCATGCCAGGGTGTGCTTTGGAGACCAAGGAAAGTCCTATCTCACTTGCGGCAGCTTTATCCTAAAGAGCACCGTGGGCGTTCCAAGGAAAAAGTTGAAAGACGAGGCGGGGTATTCAGGGTACACCCACTTGCTTCATCCAGCAATCCTGTTCAATAACACGTTGGACATGGGGGTGGCTTCTAACATGCGTGGATATATACAAATCCACTTGCTACATGTGTCTGTGTCACCCATTTCTCTGTGGTTTCTTTGTCTAATTTGCTTCTCAGCACCATTCACCAGCGGTCGTCACCCGATCAATGACCAACTTCACGGTCTTCCAACGTACGACGTCGCAGCACCGGTCGAAGGTCCGTCCTGTACGATGTGGTGTGGCGATGTGGTCGAGTGCCTTTCTTTTTGTCCACTTCTTCACAATCTATATACTACAGAAATATGGAGGGTGTGTCTATGCATAGGGATTGGAACAGGTCAGTATATACTTCAGGGTCAACCAGAGATCGAGCGCTCCCACTCATGGGTGTCACGGAGGTCACGTGGCTCACGGTTTTCCGTGGATGTCCAGAGAAAAGGCGCCCACGACTCGAAAGGCGACCAAGACCTGTAGCCACTGTAGCCCCATCAGGGTCTTCAAGAAAACCTTTTGACCTAAAGGCACTGTCTCATAGGACTTAGGATCCTTGAGCAAACCATGCAGTTATATAAGAGTTAATTAGGAGTACTGTATATATAGTATATATAGATGAACCTTGACGTAGAAAGACTGTTTGGTTCTGTTTGGTGCATCCCGCATCCTTTGTTGTAGGACATTGGAATGCTTTTGGCAACATTTGGCGACGTAATTCGTGAACACTCAGGGTGATCTTGATGCAGATCATGCGCACTTGATTCCGTTGGAAACGACCGAAACTAGGTCCTCATGCTGAGCAGCTGGAGACAGTAGACTTCATCCTGCAGCGAATCACCTCTACAGTGAATCTTCTTCAACGGCCCGAGCGGCACGCTGAGCCGCCCTTGATCTTGCACCAGCCGCTCGAAGTCCTGCAGGGCCTGAGCGTTTATTGCGTGTTGGGGCGCGTGCGAAGCGGGGCATGGGGGGTAGGTAGTTATTTTGTAGGGGAAGTGTATTCGTAGGTAGCTCCTGTAGTAGCCAGGATGCAGTAGAACTTTTTGCCGATGAAGTTGGTTCTTGGTCTTGACGGGAGTTACATTTACACTCCAGTGTTTAGCAGCGAAGCTCGAAGAGACAGGGGGGCAGCTTCACCCCCATAACAACAACTGTGGAAGTTTGTCCGATCTGGCAAAACCAGTGCGTTTTGGACAATTCAAACTTGAAAGAGAAACAACCAAGCTTTCCATGCGCCCGGGGAAGTCTTTTGCCATCAGTTTTGCCAACTGTCACACCGCAAGTCTCACGAGCTGACGAGCAATTGCTGCCCACTTCTTCCACCACATGTATCCAAATCTATCCAAAATCCCGTTTTGCGGTGCATTCAGTGGGTTGTGTTTGTATGTTCTTCCTTTTGGGGTGTGGGCCGTGGGGTTATGAATTTCAATTGTTGCCAGACCTTGACTCAATCTGTGAGGTATACAGATGGCATGGTCCGAGATGTTTGCGCTGACTTGCAGCTGGGTTCAAGGAGGTTGTGGTGGGTTGAAGACAATTGTAGATTGCACCCGCACGCACCCCTGTTTCATATCCATACCTTTTGTATAGCATATCGAAGCAATTGTTGATGTCTAGTTTGGCCAAGTGGCGTAGCGATGGGCAACTCCAAGCGCGTTTTGATACAATCAGAATTTTGTGCTTATTTTTAGTGTTGTTTTTTGATTGCCCTAGTTTCAGCTACCAAAAGAACCTGGCTAAAAGGTATCCTTCCGTTGATGACTCAAAAAACATCAATAATAAATCACAGGAAACATAAAAAGTACATGGTTTGGAGATTTAGGAGTGTGCCTTGTTCAAGCATGGAATTTGTAGAGGAAATCAGACCGCTCCAGTTGATTTTCCAGGTTTCATCCTTCCCAGAATCAGCCACCCTGACTTTCCTTTGCCATTGCACTGGCCATGATCTGGCAGAACTCTTGACCCGAAACGCTACACCAGCAGCATTTCTACAGAATTAAATGACACATGATGTAATGGATGTGTCACATATCATGATTATATACCAGGCCTGGGGCCCCACGTTGATCATACTCGCTTGAAGTGTTTTGGCAGCTTTGATCATACAATCGCTCACACGATTGAGTTTTGAAATACCTCTAGACGAGATGAATTAAACAAGTACTTGGTGTGCGCATACAGTAGCCAAGATCGGCCGCAGGGTCGGGGCATTGCTCATCCCAGGAAGCAATGGCTGGAGCAACTGGCTAACATTTTGTCGGTGTATCACGTTCATATCTTGGACCTCGAGGGCGACAAGCGACAATTGACCAGCGCCTCAACGACAAGGGACCCACAAAGACACACACACACCACCGGGCCCTCATTCTCACCGAGACACCCTACTGAGACACCAATTCTTGGCGGCTTCAGGGCTGATGCACAATCAACGTCACAGGGGCCATTTGACTGCCGTTTGAGGATACACACATATATATATATATATTCTTATACAAAATATGTGGGTGTCCTTCCGACGCGCGTGGTCCAGAAAGGTAGAGAGCTTTCAAAAAGATTTTTTTTGCAACCATTAGACCATTAGACTGCGATGATGTGATAAGACAAGCAATGGCCTCCAACCTAATAGCGATGGCCTCCAACCTAAAAGGAGGCCATCGCCATCAGGTTGGAGGCCATGGCTATTTGGTTGGAGGCCATTGCTAGTAGAATCCTTTTGCTACTAGGTAAATTTGTTCATTTCAGCATCACCTACGGCATTTGAATGCTATTCGCTTGGAGGCCATCGCTATTAGGTTGGAGGCCATTGCTATAGGTTGGAGGCCATTGCTAGTAGAATCCTTTTTGCTACCAGCTTAATTTGTTCATTTCAGCATGACTTACTACAGACATTTGAATGTTCCCGATGGGTCTCGAAGACTTGGTCTGAACACCCCCACCGCTCAGAGCGGGGGAAAAGGCAGGTTGTTCCGAGCAGCTCGCAATCGGAGTCGCGATCGATCGACATTGTCGCGTGGGCATGTCATGGTTGGAGTTGTGGTCGTTTTGCATGAAATCGACCCCGTGCGACAGAGGCAATGGAAAATGGACGGGGAAAAGCTTTTTGTATTCCCTTTTTAGACAGAGTCTATCTCATTGCTTCCTTGGCAACCGCGGGTGTACTTGTTGAATTGTTTGTGCTTTATTTCAAGACGTGTCTTTGCTGCTTTGGGATCACCCGGAGGCGTGTTGTCGCCTTCACGAAGTCCTCCGCCCGGGTTGTTTCGATCGAATTCTCCGAGGCAAAGTAGGAGGATTGGAGGAGAAGTTGAAGGAGTCTGAGGTGGAGAAAGAGGATGCCGTAAGGCGTTTTCAGGAGTCCATGTTCTGGAGATTGGAACCCAAAAACTTCAAGGAAAGCAATCCGCATATATAATATGTCCAAAGGGTTCCCTGTGATTCATACAATAAATAATATATACATAATAATCTATTACACGCATTGCCGCATTGACACATATTGACACATACAGTACATTTACTGTAGATCTAGAGAGAGAGAGAGAGAAGTAGGCAGCTTGTTGGCATTTTTATGTAGGTTCCCCAAGGGTTGATTGACGACTCAAGGTTGCCATTCATGTAATTGGCTCATCCGCTGCTGTAGGTAAAATCAGGTAATATAGAGGCATGGATACTTCCTTGGTATTGAAGAGGAGTATGATCGTTAGTTTCCCTACACACTGTGAAAGCAGGAATTCTCTTTTGAAATCCTCCACGTTCCTCAACGGCACAGTGGCGGTTACTGTGTCTTTGCCAATTCCAGGATATGGACGCCCGGTGGAATGAAGAGAAGATGAAGAAACGTGCGGCCGCCTTGTTCGGGGTGAAGAGCAGCGAGGAGGATCCCAAGATCTACAGCCAGCTAGAGGTGGATGAGATGTACGAGCAGTGGAAGAAGGAGCAAGTCGATCCCCTTTTGGAGGCGCGCCCACTGGAGGTAGATCTTGTCCTTCCCAGATGGTGTCTATGAGTCATAGGCATAGTCCATCATAGGCCTTCCAGGGCCTTCCGAGAGGAGTTTGCCGACATTTGCTGTGTTCTTCTGTGCCCTAAGCGAATGAGCCTCTTGTCGTTTCACGCTAGTATGTCTAATACATGTCTCACTTACCTACCGTTTGGCTCAAGGAAAACCAGGTGCGACTAGTTGGTACTTTTCGGTCGTTCTCCTGTAACTACAGGTTATCAGCCGTATCGCCAAAAGTGCGGTACGTGCTTGGTCCTAGCCCTGGTCTCACCCCACCCTAGATAGTGCACTGTCTAGAGGCCATGGCCGATGATGAAAGTTCCCGTGGTGACCGCTCACGTTCAGGCTACATTCCCACTTCGCCTGCCATGTCGAGCTCACCTGCTTTGGAACTCCCTGTTGTTCCGCTGGAGTTGCGTGCGCCAAATGTGCCACCGATGCTCAGTGCACAGGGGGGCCTGCTGCCTAGTGTTCAAACTCCGTCGCCGTTTCAACCTGAGTTTTCTCCTGTGATGAATGTCCAGAACGTTGATGCGAGACAGATTCATCAACAAGCTGTCTTCGTCAATGAGGATAGGTCAGCTCAGGTAGCTCAGATTGCTGAACTGCGGCATCAGGCCATTTTGGCCGAGCATGGGCAACAAGTAGCAGATGATGCTAGGCAATTTAGAGACTTAGTGGAGAACCAAGCTAGAGTGGCTGTCCAGGAGTCTAGGGAACAAAGTGAAGCTTTAGCCAATCAACGTTTGAGTGACATGAACCAAGCCCATCAAAACCAACAACTTCACGAACAGAGGGCTTATTTAGATCGTATTTCGCTCGAACGACACTCCGTCGTTGAGAACGAACGCGCCTCTGCTAAGCAAAGAGAGGATGCACTTCGGTCAGAATTAGCTGAACAGAGTCGAATCATCAAGGAGTTGCGAGAGAGATTTGACAACGCCTCGGGGAACCGAGTGCCTGCGCCATCAGTGCAGCCACCTGGATCCCGAGGATCCCCAGCTTTGCCTCCAGCGAGCCTTCGCACTCAGTTGGAGATGCCCGCGAACGAAGGCGATGACGATCCTCATCCATCCAATGCTGATGACGAAGGTGATGATAAGTCCAAGAAAGATAAGAAGAAGAAAGGAAAGGAGAAGAAGAAAGAGAAGAGCCCAAAGAGAGGCCGATCAAGAGAGCGCAGGAAAAGGCGTTCTTCTCCGTCTCCTTCATCTCCTAGTTCATAAAGCGGAGGTGACAGCTCCAACGGCTCAAGCTCTGAATCTTCGCGTCTTGCACGCATCATCCGCAAGGAGCTGAAGAAGCAGCAGAGGAAGTCAAAAGACAGGGACCGTGAGAGCAAAGCCAAAGAGGCTGATAAAGTTCTCATTCCCAAGTTTCCCACGCCTGAGAAGTACAGAGATTGGAAGATCAAGGTGAGGGACAACATTGCTGCGGCTTCAGCCAAGCCAGATGAAGCTCGGATATGGGTTGGGAAAGTGTACAAGGACTCCCAAACCATTGACGCCTTAGACGATTCAGAGGGTTTTGCAACCCTTGACGCAAAGCTTCTAGCAAGCTTGACCAATTGCGCTGAGGGGGACCTTGGTCGTCAAATTGCTACCTTCAAGGAGCTGCGTGCTCGTGAAGACAAGAATGTGAAGGGAAGACATTTGCTCCTTCGCTTTCATGAGTACTTTGCGACAAGCATCAAGCATGGTGCAATTTATGGTCTTGAAGACCTTATGTCCGTCAAGATGGTCAATGACGACCTCAAGGGCTTTATCAACAAGTGGGACAGTGTCCTGGCCGGAATGAAGAAAGAACCGGAAGACAGTGTCCTTGAAGCTTACTTCCATCTGGCAGTCAAGCGCTTTAAACCCCTTGAGCATGACCTGGCCTTGTACGATCGAGCAGCCGATGGTAGTAAAGAAAGATCGTATGACTTCTTGATCACAGCTGCAAGGGCCTATCTTGAACGGAGAAGGCTCGAAAAGATGCGTGACGCCACCAAGCGTTCGCTCGGGGCCAAAGACACAGCCATGCCTGCTCCGGATGACTAAGAAGGGCGTATGCTTTGACTTCCAAAAGACCGGAAAATGCAAGCGCGGATCATCATGTCCTTACAAGCACGAAAAAGGCCGCGAGAAAAGCAAAGGAAAGGGAAAGGGCAAGGATCGCAGTCAGTCTCGATCAAGGTCACTGACACCAGGTTCTCGCAAAGAGACATGCAAATTCTGGAAAGCAGGACATTGTCATCGAGGAAAAGACTGTGCGTTCCAACACCCTGAAAAGACTGTCCCCGCGAAGAAAGAGGACAGAAAGAAGAAGAAGAAGAAAGAAAAGAAGCCTCGCAAGCGAAGCAGCTCGCGAGGATCGTCAGGCTCCGACAACTCAACTGGCTCTGAGAGTCAGCGGAGAAAAGGTGGGAAATCTTCTTCTTCCAATGCACCGGCAGCGGTTTGCCTCCTACGAGCAGTGGTCATGGCCGCAGTGGTCTCTCAGGGATCCTCCGTCCTCATCACTCGCCCGCTGGGAAGCGTGGCCATGCCAGTCCTTTCCGCATCAAATACTATTTGCACCGATTTTGACAACACAGAAAACATTGACAGTTTTGTTACGCAACGAGTTCGTTTTGACGATCAACCCAACATTTTCAGTCATGCTGTTGAATCTTCTTCCAGTTGGAGACCTGTTCAACCCCGAAGTAAGAAGAAACGAAGAACCTTTACACCAGGTCGACCGGAGCATGTTGAAGCAGTTCGTATCGCTACTGAAGATGCATCCATTGCAGCCTCACACCTTCAGAATGCTGTCAGGAACGAGCTTTTGTCCATGCCGGCGGAATGTTCGTACCTGTGCAACTCGGACATAGGTTGCGTCAAGTGTTTTGAGAAGAGGGCGTGTCCAACAGTGCCTGCCACTGAGATTGCATGGATCGCTGACACTGGGAGCGCACACGATCTTGTGTCTAGGCACATGCTTCATTCGGATGAGGTGTCTCAATCGTCCAAACCGGTCAGTCTTCTTACTGCCAACGGAGTCTTTCAAGCCACTGATCAAGCGAGAATCAATGTCCCCGTGTTGGGAGCTGACATCAATCCGTACGTCCCAGACGATAGCCCAGCCGTCCTGTCGGTAGGACAGCGCTGCATTGATGCTGGATGGAGCTTTCATTGGCCCGCTTACAGTAGGCCATACTTCAAGAAGCCAGATGGCACGAAAGTCAAACTTGAAGTAGAAGACTATGTTCCATACCTGCCATCATCAACTGGTGTTGCGATGTCTGCCATAGGTCAACCTTATGGTTCGAGCGAACGATCGGGGGGGACCAAGACCAATGATCCCTCTGCCCGCATCGCCGGCTGAAGAGGCAATTGAAGTCTATGACGATGACGACAATCCCATCGGCGAAGATCCTGTTGAAGACGATCCTGAGCCAGTGGATGAAAGGTTGGTGGAAAAGCCGTTGGACCCGAAGAGGGATAGGGGAGAGAAAGCTCTTAAGGAAGAAGCTCAGTCTGTTCAGCATCTGTTGACTCACACCCCAAAGAACCCTTTTTGTCAAGCTTGCTCAAGGGCAAAGATGACCAAACGTCCATCGTATAGCAAGGGTGGTTCAACCCAGGTGGAGGCGGACCACTTCGGACAACATTTGACTGCCGACCATCTCGTTATTCGTGACGATGAGGAAATGGACATCGATGGGGCTCGCGTAGCTTTGGTCGTGAAAGATGTAGCAACAGACTTCAGGTATGTCTACCCGGCCGCGCGTCGTTCGACGCGTGAATGCATCGCAGCTTTCAAGCACTTTGTCCGTTCAACTGATGAGGTAGGAGTGTTTTATTCCGACAACTCACCTGAGCTCATCGCAACTGCCGAAAGACTAGGATGGAGGCATCAAACCAGCTTTGCATATGTCTCTAAGACGAACGCTATGGCTGAAAGATCTATTAGGTCCGTCATCGATGGAACTAGGGTAAACCTAGAGCAAGCTGGTCTTCACCATCAATATTGGGCACACGCTGCCAGGCATGCATGCATGGCAAACAACATCGTCGACACCCGGGAGGGTAGTTCGCCTTGGTCGCTTCGGTTCGGTGAGAAGTTCAAAGGCCCTTTGGTTCCCTTTGGGTTAAGGATTGATTACTGGATCGGCCCCAAGAACAAGGCCAAATCCTCTCTTAGGTTCGAGCCAACATCAAACCCTGGAATATTTTTGGGGTACGCCGTTCAGTCCAATTTTGTGTGGAGAAAAGAGTTCATGGTTCTCCCGTTGAAGGATGTCATGGAATCAGACTTCAGTGCAGAGATTCATCCATTGAGGGTCCATCAGATTGCCGTTCCCGACATCGGATTACACTTTCCATGTAAAGGTAGGTACAACACGATTAGAGAAGGTTTGTACCCTGGCATTACCATTTCGAGCAATCCGCCATCAATTGATGACGTCAAGGCTGCGAACATTGAAGAGCTTGTTGATCAGGAGGTTTTGAAACATGCTGTTGATCAAGAGTATGAACCGGATGAGCCACCCGAACTTCCCGATGTGCTTGTTGACGATGCGCCCATCGCTGCTCGCGGGTCGGGAGACCTTGCCGACGGTCCGGGGGGTGAAGAGGTTGAGATGATTGAGGTTCTTGATCCCGTCACGGGTGAAACGACTTTGATCCCCAAAACTGATTCATCTTACTATGATGCCGGAGGTTACAAAGCAAGGAAATATAAGGGTTCATCAAAACCCCCCTGGCATTCCTCCGTTCCTATGGAAAGCCGCTTCCAAAGCGGAGAGGAAGAAGGCGATTGCAGAATATGAGCTCGAAGAGGCTCGAAAGCGCCTTCTTGCCGAAAAGAGCAAGCATAAAGCAGCCGTGGCAGAGATTGACGGCAAGTTGCGAAATTACAAGAGTGGAGACATCCCCACTGAGACGAAAATGGACGCCACCTGGGAAGGTGTGCCTTTGATGCCGGTTGAACAT